GACGTACGTCATCTCGGTCCCCTGCTGGTCAAGTCCCGTATAGAATCACGAGCACGGTCCGCGAAGGACCGTCTCCAATCAGCTCAGGAGTCCAAGGCAATGCAACGACGTCAGTTTCTCGCCGTATCCGCGGTGGCGCTCGCGATGCCGTGCCGGTCCTTGCCGGCGCAGGGCAGGTCGAGTACAGCCGGCGGCGTTCGACGAGCTCCGGCAGAGCGGCAAGCCGGTACTGCTCGACTTCTACACTACGTGGTGAGGGACCTGTCGAGCACAAGGACGCACCGTGCGTGCGCTCATCGACAGCAATCCCGCGTACCACGCGGTGACCGTGGTGAAGGTGGACTGGGACAAGTTCAGCGGCGCCCCGATAGTGACGAGCTCGGCGTAAAGGGTCGGGCCACGCTCGTGATGTTCAGCGGGGGTGAGGAGGTAGGCAGGGTCGTCGGCCAGACCGGCGCCGATGCCATCGAGCCCATGTTCAAGGCTGCCGTGTCGTAGTTGACTGCGAAATTGGGCCCGAAGGCGACCGCCTTCGGCCTCCGGCGCGGTGTCCTGTCAACCATCCGGCAACCATGGTAATCAGGGACCGGCCACCCGGACCCCAGGGGACGTTTCGGAGCGGACGAACCGATGACCTATCTGTGGGCCTACGTAGCCGGGCTACTCACCCTCATCAATCGTGCGTGCTCCCGCTGCTGCCCATCGTCATCGCGGCGGCGTTCCAGAACAGCCGGCTCGGACCGCTCGCGCTCGCGGCGGGGCTCACTATTTCCTTCGCGACGCTCGGGGTCTCGGTGACCGCATTCGGCCATTTCGTGAGCGTCGACGCCGATTCGGTCAGCCGCACGGCCGCGTCGTGATGATGGCGTTCGGTGTCGTGCTGCTCGTCCCCAGAGCCCAGACCGTGCTGGCGACGCTGGCCGCGCCGCTCGCGAACCGTGCGAGCTCGCAGCTCGATGCGCGCGAAAGGGCGGGAGTCGCCGGTCAGTTCGGGGTGGGCATGCTGCTCGGGGCGGTCTGGTCGCCGTGCGTCGGCCGACGCTCGGGGGTGCAATCGGACTGGCCGCGAGCGGCGAACACCTCGGCCAGGCAGCGGTCACGATGCTCGCCTTCGGGGTCGGCGTGTCCACCGTGCTGTTGGCGCTGGCCTACGGTTCGAGGCAGGCGGTGAGCGCCCGGCGGGAGCAGCTCGCCGCGTGGATGCCGTGGGCGAAGCCGCTCATGGGTGCAATCCTTGTCGCGGTGGGGATCGCGGTCCTGTTTCACATCGACCGGATGATCGAGGGCTGGTTGCTCGACCTCATGCCGGTCTGGCTCCAGGATCTGTCGGTGTCGGTCTGAGACAGCTTTGCTCAATCTCCTCCATCCCCTGCCGGGAGTTGAAGGAGGCAGGTTCGTTCAGCATCCCTTCAATCGGAAAAATTGAAGAACCCACTCTTGGGAGATTGGAGCAGCTCCAATCACGACTCCACGGGTTCAGCAAACTCGCTTCTTCGCAGGTGATTTCGAGGACCAAGGCACAGGAATCGAACGCCCCATGTCTCGTTGGTCCCCACGAAGGCCACAACCTACTGAGCTACAGGTCCCCATGCAGCAGCTTGTACACCGCGCTGCAATCGAGCTCGCCTGCACCGTTCTTGCACAGCATGCGAAAGAGCGCCGCCGCATCGGCGCCGAGAGGGGTGCTCGTGCCGGTGTCCGCCGCCGCGCTCTGTGCAAGCCCGAGGTCCTTGGCCATGAGCGCCGCCTTGAAGCCGGGCGCATAGTTGCGGTTCGAGGGCGCGGTTTCGACGATCCCGGGGACCGGGTGCATGTGATCCATCATCCACGTCTGGCCCGTCGACGTGGAGAGGACGTCGTAAAGCTTCTTCGAGTCGAGGCCGAGCGCTCGCCAAGGCAGAAGACCTCGGACGCCGCGATGATCGCGATCCCCGCCATCATGTTGTTGCAGATCTTGGTGGCCTGCCCGTGCCCGGTCCGCCGACGTGGGCCACGTTGCGCCCCATCGCGGCGAGGATTGGCTGGCCCGCTCGTAGCCGGCCGCGGACCCGCCCACCATGAATGTGAGGGTGCCTGCCGCGGCCCCGGTCACGCCGCCTGAGACCGGAGCGTCGATCATCTCGTAGCCGGACTCGGATGCCGTCGCGGCGACCTCCCGGGCGGTAGCGATGTCGATGGTCGAGCAGTCGGCGAGAAGCGCCTCGCGGGGTGCGTGGCCGATGATGCCGTCGTTGCCGCCGTCACCCAGGTAGACCGCGCGCACGTGCCTTCCTTCGGGCAGCATCGTGATCACGATCTCCGCCGCGGTCACTGCATCGGCAAGGCTCACCGCCTCGTCGGCACCGGCTTGCACCGCTTCGGCGAGCGCATCGGGGGACACGTCGTACGCACGCACCTCATGGCCGGCCCCGATCAGATTGCGCAGCATCGGCAACCCCATGTTGCCGGCACCGATGAATGCGATTCGTGACATTGGCGCGTTGCCCCCTACTTCCTCGCCGCCTCGCCGATGTTGTCGACGCCGCGCCGCTCGAGCAGCCCGTCGAGCCAGTCCGGGTCCATCTCCGGCACCGAGGAGAGCAGCAGGTCGGTGTACTCGTGGTGCGGGGGCGGAACATCTCGTCCTTCGGACCCGCTTCGACGACCTTGCCCTCCTTCATCACCACCACCTCGTCGGCGATCGAGCGCACCGTCGCGAGATCGTGGGTGATGAACATGTACGCGAGGTTCAGATCCTCCTGGAGGCGGTCGAGAAGCTTCAGAATCCCCTCGGCGACGAGCTGGTCGAGCGCGCTCGTGACCTCGTCGCAGATGATGAACTCGGGATCGGCCGCAAGCGCGCGGGCGATCCCGACACGCTGTTTCTGGCCCCCGGACAGCTCGGACGGAACGCGGTGGTAGTACTGCGACGGCTCCAGCTCGATCTGGTCGAGCAGCTCGTCCACGCGCTTCTTCAGTTCCGCGCCGCGCAGCCCCCGGTAGAAGGCCACCGGACGCCCGATGATCTCGCCGATGCGCTTCTTCGGGTTGAGCGCGGTGTCGGCCATCTGATAGATCATCTGCGCTTGGCGGAGCTGGTCCTTCGAGCGTTGCTTGAAGCTCGCCGGCAGGACTTGGCCGTTGTGCCGTATCTCGCCCTTGGTCGGCGGCAGCAGGCCGGTGATGCACCGCGCCGCGGTCGACTTGCCCGAGCCCGATTCACCGACCACCGCGACCGTGCGGCCGCGGTGGATGTCGAAGGAGATGTCGTCGAGGACCTTGACGGGACCGTAGGCGGCGCTGACACCGCTCACCGAAATCACCGGCGTCTCGCCCGGAGCGGCCAGGGGCTTCTGCTTGCGCTGGAAGCTGCGCACCGCCCACAACGACTTGGTGTAATCCTCCCTCGGCAACGAGAGCATGGAGCGGGTGTCGGCCTCTTCGATCTCGTCGCCCTTGAGCAGCACCTTGATGCGGTCGGCCATCTGCGCGACCACCGCCAGATCGTGGGTGATGTAGAGCGCGGCGGTGCCGAACTGGTCGACGATGTCGCGGATGGCGGCGAGCACCTCGATCTGGGTCGTCACGTCGAGCGCGGTGGTCGGTTCGTCGAAGATGATGAGGTCGGGCCGGCAGCTCATCGCCATCGCGGTCATCGCGCGCTGGAGCTGCCCGCCCGAGACCTGGTGCGGGTAGCGGAAGCCGATCTCGTCCGGATTGGGCAGGCGCAGGCGCCGGTAGAGCTCCATCGCGTCGGCCTCGCTCTCCTTCCGGGTCCTGATCCTGTGCTGCACCGGCGCCGCGGTGTGCTGGTCGATCAGCTTGTGCGCCGGGTTGAACGACGCGGCCGCCGACTGCGCCACGTAGGCGATGCGCGCGCCGCGCAGCATGCGCAGGTCCTCTTCGGGGGAGGAGGTCAGCTCCATGCCGTCGAACTCGATGGCGCCGGCGGAGATGCGGCAGCCGTCGCGGGTGAAGCCCATGGCGGCGAGCCCGATCGTGGACTTTCCGGCCCGGATCCCCGATGAGGCCCATCACCTCGCCGCGGCGCAGGTCGAGATCGATGCCGTGCACGATCTCGAACCACTTCTCGTCGGCCCGGCCCTCGATGCGCAGACCCCGGATCTTCAGCAACAAGCCCTTCTCTTCACTCATGAGCTTCACTCCTTCAGACCGGAGGAGAGCTGGAGCATCCAGTCCACCACCAGGTTGACGGCCACCGTCAGCAGCGCGATCGCCGCGGCCGGGATCAGCGGGGTCACCTCGCCGAACGAGATGAGGGTCGCGTTCTCGCGCACCATCGAGCCCCAGTCCGCGGTCGGCGGCTGGATGCCGAGGCCGAGGAAGGACAGCGCCGAGATGGCCAGGAACACGAAGCAGAACCGCAGCCCGAACTCCGCCACCAGCGGTGCCGTCGCGTTCGGCAGGATCTCGCTGACGATCAGGTACCAGGTCTTCTCGCCGCGCAGCCGCGCAGCCTCGATGTAGTCCATCACAACGATGTTGCCGGCCACCGCCCGGGCGAGCCGGAATACGAGCGGCGAGTAGAGCAGCGCGATGACCAGGATGAGGTTGACCACGTTGGTGCCGACGATGGTCAGCAGCAGCAGCGCGAACACGAGCTGCGGAATCGCCATCAGCGTGTCGACGATGCGCCCGCAGGTCTGGTCGACCCAGCCGCCCGAGCGTGGCCGCCATGAGGCCCGTCAGCGACCCCACCAGGAACGCGATGGCGGTGGTGAGGACCGCAATGCCCACCGTGTTCCGCGCGCCGTAGATGATGCGGCTGAACATGTCGCGCCCGAGCTGATCGCCGCCGAGGATCATCGCTTCGTCGGCGGGTGCGTAGGAGCTGCCGATCACCTCCGACTCGCCGTACGGGCGCGATCACCGGGGCGAACACCGCGGCCACCACGTAGACGACGATGACGAACAGACCGAACGAGGCGGTGAGCGGGGCGTTGCGCATCACCTTGGCCATATCGCGGGGAAGCGTCTGCACCAGGAACTCGCGGAAGGTGTAGGCGAGGCCTCCGGAGGCGAAGAACAGCCCGATGGCGATCGCGATGTAGCGCAGCCACACCTCGCCCCCCGAGCAGTCCCATCAGGAACGAGATCAGCGTCAGGCTGAACAGCACCATGAAGGCGTCGCGCCGATGATAGTAGGCGGCCACGCACGAGGCCGCGATCATGAGCGTGTAGAAGACGATTGCGAATGTGCTCATGACGTGGCCCTCACTTCGGATGCCGCAGCCGCGGGTTGGAGAGAATCGCCCCCACGTCGGCGAGTCAGGTTCAGCAGGATGTAGGTGGCGGCGAAGACCAGACAGCAGGCCTGCACCACCGGGAAGTCCCGCTTGGTGACGCTGTCGACCAGCAACTGGCCGACCCCCGGGTACACGAAGACGATCTCCACCAGCACCACGCCGGTGATCAGATAGGCGAGGTTCAGCGCGACCACGTTGATGATGGGAGCCAGCGCGTTCGGCAGCGCGTGCACGGCGATGACCTTCCAGCGCGGCTCGCCCTTGAGCCGGGCCATCTCGATGTAGGGCGAGGCCAGCAGGGCGATGATCGCGGCCCGGGTCATGCGCATCATGTGTGCGATCACGACCAGGGTCAGGGTGATGGCGGGCAGCATGGTGACGTAGACCCGGTCGGTGAACGGCATGTCGCCGGTGACGCTCGATATCGAGGGAACACCGGGTTCTGGACCGACAGGAACAGGATGAGGATGTAGCCCAGGAAGAACTCCGGCGACGAGATCGAGGTGAGGGTGCTCACGTTGGCGATCCGATCGAAGACCGACTCGCGGTACAGCGCCGCCAGCACCCCCAGCACGATCGAGATTGGTATGGAGAACGCTGCCGCCAACGCGGCGAGGAAGAGAGTGTTCGCGAAACGCGGGATGAGCTGATCCGCCACCGAGCGCTTGTTGGCGAGCGAGACCCCGAAGTCGCCCTGGAGTGCGCCGCCCAGCCATTCGACGTAGCGCGTCGGAGCCGATCGGTCCAGCCCGAGCTCCTCGCGCATCGCCTTGACCGTCTCCGGCGTCGCGGCCTGGCCGAGAATCTGCTGGGCGAGGTCGCCCGGCAGCAGCTCGACCGCCCCGAAGATGATGATCGAGACCACGAGCAGGGTGACGAAGCCAAGTCCCCAGTCGCTTGGCCACCAGTGACAGAACGCCCATATGCTCTTCTCCTCCCAGGCGGCCGGGCGTGCAAACCCGAAACCCGAACCCCCCGGCTGTCATCGCGCTCGCGTGGATCGCTTATTTCATGGTGCTCCGCAAGCGCCCAGTGCGCGCGACCTCCATTGTCGCAGTCCTTCCAGCCACGTGGCCCCTTCTTCTTGCTCTATGGTGCGTCCTCGGCCGGATGCGGATCAGGCGAACGACCAGCGTTCCATCCAGTGTTCGCCGTCCAGATCCCAGTTCGAGGCCATCTGCTCCGGCAGGGCGAGCTTGTCGGAGGTGGCGAAGACGTAGGAGGCGAACATGGGGATGATGGTGCCGCCCTCGTCGCGCACGATCTGCTGCATCTCCGCATACATCATGCGCCGCTTGGCCTCGTCGAGCTCCGCACGGGCCTCGATGAGCATCTTGTTGAACTTCTCGTGTTCCCACGCGGCGTCGTTCCAGGGCACCCCGGCCTCGTAGGCAGTCGCGAACATCCAGTCGGCGGTGGGCCGACCGCCCCAGTAGCAGGCACAGAACGGCTTCTTGTTCCAGACGTTCGACCAGTACCCGTCGTTCGGCTCGCGCACGAGGTTCAGGTTGATGCCCGCCTCCTTGGCGGTCTCCGCGAACAGCGCGCCTGCGTCGACGGCGCCCGCGAAGGCCGCGTCCGCGACGCTCAGGTCCACCGTGAGCGAGTCCATGCCGGCCTGCTTCAGGTAATACTTTGCCTTGTCGGGGTCGTAGGTGCGTTGCTCCAGGTCCTTGGCGAAGAAGCGCTGTCCCGGGCCGATGGGGTGGTCGTTCCCGACGACGCCGAAGCCCTGCAGGATCTTCTCCACCATTTCCTCGCGGTTGATGGCGTGCTTGAGCGCCATGCGCACGTTGTTGTCGCTCGAAGGCGCAACGTTGGTGCGCATCGGGAAGGTGTAGTGCTGGGTGCCGGCAATCGAATGCACCGTGAGTCCCTTGCGGCGCTTGAGCAGGTGCACGGTCTTCAGATCGACCCGGTCGATGGCGTCGACCTCGCCGGTGATGATGGCGTTGGTACGGGCGGCCGGGTCCAGTGATGGTGATCATCTGGATCGCGTCGAAGTGCCCGCGACCCGAGTCCCAGTAGTCGCGCGTACTTCTCGAGGTCGATGCGCACGCCCGGCTCGAAGCTCTTGATCTTGTACGCCCCGGCGCCGATGCCGGACTGCCAGTCGGCCTTGCCGCCTTCGCTCGGCATGATCGGCAGGTGGTAGTCGCTGAGAATGAACGGGAAGTCGGCGTTTCCGGCAGCTGAGGGTGAAGACCGCCGTGTGCTTGCCGTCGGCCTTGATGTCGGTGATCGGCGAGACGATCGGCTTGGCGGCGGACTTCGAATCCTCGCCGCGGTGGTGGTTGATGGAGCGACGACGTCCTCGGCCGTCACCTCCCGGCCGTTGTGGTAGGTACACGCCCTTGCGCAACTGGAAGGTCCAGGTCGCGGCGTCGCGCCGATGCTTCCCAGCTCTCGGCGAGCTGGCCGACCAGCGAGCCGTCTCCAGCCACTTCGGTCAGATAGTTGTTGTACCCATGAGTCATGGCGATGGTGAAGCCGTTCTCGTGGGTCGCCGGGTCGAGGCTGTCGTGGGTCCCGCCGTGCCCCTTGCCCATGCGCATGACACCGCCTTCTTGGCGGCGCGGGCGAAGCGGATGGGCAGGGCGAGTGCGGCGGCGCCGGCGGCGCCGGTCTGCAGGAATCTGCGACGGGTTGTTCTGTTCATGTTGAGTCCTCCCTCGTGGGACAGGAGCTGCGAATTCGAGGTGCGGGGGGGCCAAGCGCGGGAACGCGCTTGTGCCCCCGTGGTCCCGGGCACTTGCGCCGTGGATGTGCGAGTGGACTTGTGGCACGGTGTCCCGGCAGGGTCAAGTTTGTTGCAACGGATCGTCG